GGGGGCGGCCCGCGCCCACCCCCCGCGCACAGGCGCATTGCGGGGATACGAAACCCACCAGATGGCACAAAACGCCGATAAGCGAAAGGGGCAACGCCCCGCCCCGCCGCTGCCTGCCACGTGCCACGCGCCACGCGCCGCGTGCGGGGCCCGGCAGCTCGCCCTCTACCGCCTTCCCCCCGGGGGCGCCAAAATCCAGTGGGTGGCCTGCCTCCCCCGGCCTCCCGGGCGCGCAAGGAAACAGCCGCCCGAGCGCGCGCCGCGGCGGCTACGCGGCAGCGGACGTTTGGCCCGTTCTCCCCTTCGCCCCCCGGGGTAAAGGCGGTAGGGGGCGAGGTGCTGGGCCCCGCTGCGCCAAGGGGGACGCACACCCGCAGCGGCGGCTCCTACGCGTCGCGTGGGCCGCACCAGGGCGGAACCCCGCGGCGGCGGAGGCCACCCCGCCTCTGCGCCCCCGCCACGGCGGCAGCAGACGGGTCACTCGCAGCCGCACGCCACCCGCGCACATACACACGCGGGCACGGGGGGACGGAGAACAAAAGAGCGGCGCACCCACGCACGCAGCCGCGGTAAGAGGGACGTGGCGGGCCCAAAGGCCACCGCGCAGTCTGCCGCTGCCTCGCCCCTCACCGACTGCCACCGTGCCGCACCGCGGGCCTCAATGCACGGCGCCCCACGCACACTCGCTGTGAGACACGCGCCGCACGCACCCGCCGTCTATTCGCCACCACCGCGGCGGAGAACAAAAAAAAAGAGTCCTCGCCGTCCTGGACCGCGGGCGCCCCTAGCGGGAAGGAAGGGGAGAGAGAAGAATGCGGGCGCACCGGCGGCACAGCCAGCGGCGGAAGGAAGCAGGACACGGAGGCACGCAGCGACAGTGGCGGGCACGGCGCGCAAACGCAAAGCCGGCCATAGCGAGTTACCCAGAGTAAAGAATTAATACCAAAACAAAGAGGTGGAAGTCCAGCAGGACTCAGTGGAAACACAAACAAGCAAGAAATTACTTCGGCAGGGGTTTCTTTATGCGCCCACAAGCACAAGAGGACGTCGCGTATATATTTACCGCCTGCGCGGGAATAAAAAGAAAAGATTGCCCAGCAAATTGCTCACGCGCCCCCACGCACGGCCACGAGGCCGGCACGACGCGCGTGGGAGGCAGCAGCAAACAGGAGGCGAAACCCGTCACCCGCGGGTGCGTATAGCAAGTGAACAGCAGGGGAGAAAAAAAAAAAGGAAACAAGAAACAACAAGACCCCTTCGAGCACAGGGGGGAGGCGTCGGCGCACATGGGCCCCAATAACAAAGAAGGAGCTGCTCACGCGCAGTGCGCGTCGTCCCCGCCAGGGCGCGTGCGCGCGGTCGCCCCTCACCACTGCCCAGCAGCGCAGGCAAGGGCTGCCGCGAGCAGCAGAAGCGGCAGCTGCGCGGGCACAAACAGAGTGGCTGCGGCGTCGCTCCCGTCCGCGTTGCTTGGCGCTTCGCTCCCGGAGGCTGCTGCATTGGCTGCGGGGACTGTGGCAGATGCGGGAACGCCGTCCTTCGCACCAGCGACTGCGGCAGTGGGCTGCGAGAGGGCTGTCGAGTCACTGCCGGCTTCAATCGCAGCTTGGGGTTCCACACCGCGTCCCTCTTCTTCGCTGCCTTTTGCCGCATTCGTTTTCCCCGTGGCACCGTCAACGCCGCTTTGCGCCAAGCCATCTCCCGCCTGTGGCTGTGCATTCGGCTCGGGTAGCGCGTCGCTGGCGACCAAAGTTTCAGCCGCCGCCTTTGCATTGTCAACGCCGTGTGCGGGCGGCCCTTCGACAGCCCCCGGGGCCGCAGCAGCACTGCGTTCCGCATCGCCAGTGAGCACAACGGCAGGCCCCTCATCGCTCCCTTCACGGGCCGCCGTCAACGCGCAAACGCCCGCCTCGCCAGAAACACCGGTGCGGCCATCTGCGTTGCTCTGCGCACCTCCACTAACTGCAGATTTTACCTGCTGCCACTCCCTATACAGCTCGCCTCCTTCATGGTCCATAAAGCCCATCGTGAACGCCACAGTTTCCCCTGTCGTGCTTTGTTTTCCACAACTGGCGCTGCACCCATGGGAAGCGTAGAGAAACTCGGCCGCAATGCAAGCGGCCTCAGTGTGGTCCACGCCAGAGTCACAGGAATTCACTTCAGAGCCTTCGACGGTGTACCCCGCCTCCTTCCACTTGGCGAGGACGTGCTGTGTGTTGGTCAAGTTGCTGCGGTCTTCCTCCTCCAACTCACAAGCCACCCACGTCGCATTCCCACGCACTCGAATCCTTAAATTGTCTCCGCTCCCCCGGCATGAGACGTCCACCGGCACCCTCATTTTACACTTCTCCGACCGCGGTGGGCTTGCCACCGCGCCAGTCCCCGCGGAAAGATCCGCCCACGCGGAGGAGGGGCAGCAGCCGCACAGCAGCGCGAGGACTGCCAGGGCGCACACCGCACGGCGCCGCACCGTCAGCGTCATCGCCATGCGTCGCAGTGGTGGTGACAGTAGAGTCGCTGGAGTCAGTGAGCTGCGAGGCGGCGGGAGGGATAAAGAAATCAAGAGAAGAGAAAGGCAGAGACAGTGAAGGGCACAGCGGAGAGAAAGAACGAGCGCAGAGAGGAGGAAGAAACGGGGGCGGCCCGCGCCCACCCCCCGCGCACAGGCGCATTGCGGGGATACGAAACCCACCAGATGGCACAAAACGCCGATAAGCGAAAGGGGCAACGCCCCGCCCCGCCGCTGCCTGCCACGTGCCACGCGCCACGCGCCGCGTGCGGGGCCCGGCAGCTCGCCCTCTACCGCCTTCCCCCCGGGGGCGCCAAAATCCAGTGGGTGGCCTGTCTCCCCCGGCCTCCCGGGCGCGCAAGGAAACAGCCGCCCGAGCGCGCGCCGCGGCGGCTACGCGGCAGCGGACGTTTGGCCCGTTCTCCCCTTCGCCCCCCGGGGGAAAGGCGGTAGGGGGCGAGGTGCTGGGCCCCGCTGCGCCAAGGGGGACGCACACCCGCAGCGGCGGCTCCTACGCGTCGCGTGGGCCGCACCAGGGCGGAACCCCGCGGCGGCGGAGGCCACCCCGCCTCTGCGCCCCCGCCACGGCGGCAGCAGACGGGTCACTCGCAGCCGCACGCCACCCGCGCACATACACACGCGGGCACGGGGGGACGGAGAACAAAAGAGCGGCGCACCCAC